CTGTATTTATGTCCATCACACTGTTTTAGAAGTTGCCTGTCCTCATTCATCACCTTTTACAAACTCTCTTAGATTTCCAACCAAGTTAATATTCCTTAAGTTTGACCAGTTAATACTCCTAATCACTTTCCTTGATTGGATGAATCATAAAGATCTTAATGAGAATTATTACCTCTGAGGAGTCAAAGGCAGCAACATTGCCACAACGCTCAACACTGCAGGAAAGCAGAGCCTATGCTTCTTACCTTTCTAGGCTTATTTCTAACCCCGTGCCTGGCATACAGTGGGCACTCAAATGATTGCAGAATAAATGAAAGATGAGGAGATGTAGAGAATCATTTAGCTGTCCACAAATAGGTGTCCAAAAAGAGAAATGATCTTCAGAGAGAGGAACTAAAACCATGTAAGTTATAAAAAGACGCATTTCAACTCAGAGGGAAAGTTTTCTTAAATGTATGTGAAATTGAGGACAACTGTCTCTGAGTTTAGAAATTCCCTCCGTGGCAGAGACCTAATGTTTAAACAGAAACTAAGGCTTATTATTATTTTTCTATGGAGTGAAATAAAAGGTAGAAGGCTCTCATTCTCATGTTTGAAAGACTTCATGATAAATGGTCTGTTTGCTCTTAAAGGATTTTATGATAGGGAACTGCCTCTACTATACCCTGAAATTTTCTCCTGTCATTCATTCAACAAATATTTATAAAGCATCTATTATGTACCAAGTACTGTGCCAAATGCTTAAGTTTGAAATGAAAATGAACAGAAAAGGCGCAGCCCTCTCAACCATTAGAAACTTAAAGGACTACAACACAAACAAGCAAGGCACAATTAGAATGTATGGTGGGGACTCTGATTTGGTCGTTGGGATTGGGGTGTATTATGCTACACTGATCATTTCGACACGGGTAGAGTGATAAATTGGGAGAGTAATGGAGAAGCTACTATATAATAATGGAGATATTATCTATAAAGCCTTTGCATGGTATCCTTCTCTGAGTCAAATAAGACAGAGAATGGTCTGTTTCAAGATATTGTTATAAGACAAGTGGCATCATAAAACATCATTAAATTCTACAACACCCAATGATCCCCCTCTTCTCTCTACATTTCCCTGGGACTTGAAGAGATCACAATTGCAAGGTAGAAAGGAGATGTTGGCAAGGCTGGTTCTTTGTCAGGAATTATACAGCAAAGGAACAGCCATGAGTCAGGGAAGATGTAAGAGACCCCTGCATGGTGTGGGACATTCATTTTAAAGAGGTGTTCCAGTCAGTGGTCAATCAACAGTTTTATATTCATTTTTCAAAAAACAGGGCCTGAACACAAATTGACAGTGATGGAAGTGGGACAGTGGCTGTCTTCGGATTTATTAGGTGTTATGTGATCAAGAGGAGCCCAAGGGAACAAAGAGGAGGGGGGACTGGAGATGTTCTACATCTTGACCTAGAGGATAGTTACCTGGACACACACATGGAAAATTCATTGAGTTGGACCTTTTGGATTTGTGCATTTCAGTCTATGTATTATTTTCAAAACAAATAAAGAAAAAATACAAAATAGGTGTTCCAGGTAGCTGTGGTAGAAGCAGGGAAGTCGGGGTCAATGAAAGAAAATAGAACTCTTAGATAAAGCATGACTTCACGAGTGAATGAGTTTCACATGTACGGTACGTTCCTATTTTGTCATTGTTTTAACATTCTTGCCTCTTTCCAGGCAATTTCCATAAGTTATATGGAAACAGGGAACCAAACAGCTGTTTCAAAATTCATCCTTCTGGGACTTTCGGAAGATGTTAACCTGCAGCCCCTCCTCTTTGGGCTGTTCCTGTACATGTACCTAGTGTGTGTTATAGGGAACCTGCTCATCATCCTGGCCATCATCTCAGACTCCCACCTCCACACCCCCATGTACTTCTTCCTCTCCAACCTGTCCTTCACGGACATCTGTTTCACCTCCACCACAGTCCTCAAGATGTTAGCGAACATCCAGACTCAGAGCAAAGCCATCACGTATGAAGGCTGCCTTACTCAGATGTATTTTTTCATGATCTTTGCAGGACTAGATAATCTGTTACTGACAGTGATGGCCTATGACCGGTTCGTGGCCATCTGTCATCCCCTACGCTACACAGTCATCATGAACCCTCGCCTTTGTGGTCTCCTGCTTCTGCTTTCTTGGTTAATCTGCTTGACATATTCTTTGTTGCAAAGTTTGATGGTTTTGAGGGTGTCCTTCTGCAAAGAGACAGAAATCCCTCACTTTTTCTGTGAGCTTGCTCAGATTCTCAAACTTGCTTGCTCTGACACCCCTGTCAATGACATCTTGCTGTATTTTGTAACTGGCCTGCTGGGTGTTATTCCCTTGACTGGGATCCTTCTTTCTTATTCTAGAATTATCTCCTCCATAACAGGCATTTCATCTACTAGGGGGAAGTATAAAGCCTTTTCCACCTGTGGGTCTCACCTCTCAGTTGTCTCCTTGTTCTATGGTGCAGGCCTTGGGGTCTACCTCACTTCTGGAACAGCCCATCCCTCCAGAAAGGGTTCAGTAGCCTCGGTGATGTACACAGTAGTCACCCCCATGCTGAACCCCTTCATCTACAGCCTGAGGAACAGGGACATGAAGGGGGCTCTGAGGAGACTTTGCACTAGAGGAACTTATTCTCAGTGAGATAATGGAAGTTAAGGGCAGGCAACAGAAATCCCAAGTGCTGATAAGTGGTATTTCTCAATATGTAATCTGAAGACACAGAAAAGAAACATTATTCTTAATATACTAGAAAAAAACATTCCTGAACCAAAGACAAACTTGAAGCAGCACACCAAAATGCTTACCATCCACCAAAGAAAAAGAATGGCCTACCAATAATTATACTTCTCTTGAAAATAAACTATTTCAAGGATATAGACTCCTATAAGCATCAAGGGAGGAGAAAGTAAGTCAAAGAATGTAGATGGGGAGAAGAGAAGACAAGAGTGACAACAAAAAAGTTTACACATTGGCTTATCTTTACCCCTCCAGTTATGTCCTAACTGCTAGCACCATACCTGCTGGACCATGCTTTTCCCTGATCTTAGTCTGAAAACTGTTATCTGGACTGTCTCATACCAACCTCCCTCACCCCATTAGATTTTACTTACTGAGTCTTGCTTTGGTGTTGGCCACTGACCTACACTGAGGGTTTTAAGAAACTTATTTAGGAAACTCATTGTAGTGTCTTCTGGTCTTTCTTTGTTGATCCATTTGATCTGAAATAAAGGTCCAAAGCAATCTACTTGCTGTCTTCCTTGGCTGACCCATGCTTCCCCCGATCATCACATGCCTGGCTTCTTCTCTCATGTTAGACTCCAAATAAAAACTGTCAGCTCTTCAGACAGCCCTACCCTATCCTGAAGAGTTCTGGTGGAGATTAAATGTTACACGCAAGGGAGCCCAGAACAGTGGCATGAGTACTCAATGATTGTTAGCTATCAGAAGATCCCTGAGGGCCATCTGGGTCTGTGTTCACCATGTGAAGATGCAAAGAGATCTGTTATCAGTAGAACAGTTGGAAAAACTGGCTAGAGAAGGTTGATCAAGCTATGGGTTTAGGTAAGACTAAGTGAGTCCCCAGAGCTGACAAGGCAGTCATGTAGGAGAGGGGGGCCTATCCAAGGCTCAGCCCTCCGGACAGCCCCAGGAGCACCACATACTGGAGGTCAGATCTGTAGGGTCCAGGAGAGAACTTTCCTGGATCTAAAGACTAAGGATTGGACCAGAAAATGTTCCCAAATGAAGACTCCCTACAACAGGAAGCTGGGAGGGCAAAGCATCCTTTATACTAGTCCAGATCCATGGGAAGATTCTCTTGAAATGAGAGCAAAAAATTAAAACCTATCCTGAGATGACCTGAGGAATGCTGAACCCTCTTGGTGAATACCACATTTGGAGGCAGGCAGATTCCAATGTCTGAATCCTTTAGTCTCTGTTTCTAAGGAGCCTCAGATTCTTTATTTGTATGTAATTTTGGGGGTGATTACAGAAAACTAGTGTTAAGTAATACACACATTTTCAAAAAGCAGTGAACATCGTATTTATGAACACAGGATTTATTTGTGCCCCCACCTTGTGCCAAAAAGAGGTATACCTGGTATACCTATTGGCAGGATCCTGCACCCCTAATAGTTCTGCCCAATTGCATTCTTCTCCAGCAGGTGTCTGAGGCTGAGATACAAACTGATTGCTACCGGGGGAAAAAAAGTCACTTTATTCAGTGCACTGTCTTAGCTTCCAACCATTCTATGGAACCTCTGGCCCTGGTGACCTAAGGCAATAGAATAAGATGAAGCCAAGACAGGACTTAATTCCACTGAGCCTGGAGCAGTACCTGATTGTGCCGCATCTCTCAATTAGTTCCAGATACGGAAATTATTACTCTATCCCAGGGTTTTTCAACCTGGGTACTGTTTAACATTTGGGCCAGATAACTCTTGGTTGAGGGGTGCTTCCTGTGCATTATAAGATGTTTAGTAGCATCTATGGCCTTATCCACTAGATTCTATTAACTTCTTCCACTCTCACATCCCATTCAAAATAATAAAAAATGTCTCCAGACATTGCCAGATGTCCCTTAGGGACAAAATCACTCCTGAATATGAACCACTCACCTACTATGACTCAAAAACAAACAAACAAAAAACAAAGGAAAATGCAAAAATGGAGGAGGGGAGGAGGGGAAGACCCTAGTCCAAAACAGTATGGACCTAAGATACCAGATGCTAAGATAGAGATGAGAGAGTGAAAGAAACCTAATTACCCACCCACCCTCCAAAAAAGAAAAAGTGCAGTTTGTTTTACATCAGTTATAAAGCTATTCCCTCTCACTTAGAATTCTTGCAACATAAATACTGGTCCTGTGGTGACTGCAAAACATAGGGACCCTTTCTTCCATTTCCTGTATCCATGCCCCTCTGTAACTCCGAGTGCCCTTCAACCCTGGGCTCACTTGTGAGATTTCACTGGGCAGTGGGAGGCAAGCAAACACAACACATTCAGGGACTTGAAAAGCACCTGCACAGGGGAACTTGTGCTCTTCTGGGACCCTCTAGCATCATGTGTACAGGCCCTATCTAGAAGTAGACCAGGGTTTAGAGCAAATCACCGACTGGCAGCCAATTGCAGACATGTAAGTAAGCCCGCTAAGCACAGCCCAAATTGTCAGCCAATAGAACTGTAAACTGTGAACAGTGGTTGTTTTAAACCACTGTGTTTTGGGTAGTTCATTAAGCAGCAAGCATAAACAGGCCCCCTTCATTCCATTCTAAGTAGGGCAGAAACATAACCTTTCTAGACTGCAAATCTCATCAGACGTCAATTAACATTTAAATTGAGGTTTATTATATCAATGTGTTACATAATCTGTCCCATGTTACCCCTCCAGCTTTATCTCCCACTTCACAGAGTGTCCTGTTACCTGTCAGAGAATGTGATACATATATGTTTCTGTGTCTTTGCACTCAGGATTGTCGTGCTTATTCAAATTTGATCCTGAACAGTATAGATAAGCCTTCTACACTTAGTTTGCATCACCTCTTCCATATGGCTTTCCTTGAACTCCGAAAGTTCAGTATCCCTTCTGGGGCTCTGTGAATGGATTAACTGGCCATTACTAGCTATCTTACTGTTTATACCCTTCTCTCCTCCTAGACCTTTACTCCTTTAAGGACTATACCATGTCTTACTGTTTTCTTCCCAAAGCCTAATCCAGTGTAAGTCACTTAATTGATATTCACTGGTTCCCTAGAGAGGGAAAAAATCCTGAGTGGATTGGAGTTACCCAGACATTACACAAGACAGCTGGTTCCTACTGGAGAGGCCCCAAGAATTGAAAGCCATGGTGAGACATTAGAAGTCCCCTCCAGGGAGATGTGTAAAGTATTATGTCTGTCCCAGGCACTGGCAGAAAAGTGCAATGAGATGCAAGAGTTCTAGGCCACTTAACACGGAGTTGGGAATTCAGTTTCCTTCTGCCCTTAATTGACACGGTGAAGGGAGCGGGCATGGAGGAAGCAGTGGTGTTGGATTCCCAGGGCTCCTAATTAAAGAAAACAGTCCTATCTTACTCAATGCTGAAAGTGTTCTCCCCTTGGGCCTACCCTCCCCTCTAGGGTACTTCCTTCTGCCCCACCACAAATCTAGGCAAGAGCGAGTCAGTAATTGCTATTTCTTCACTAATGAGCTTAGGAAAACTTTTGACCTGCAGAACATTCAACACCTTCACTCACAGATGTGCAGTTGCCCTCACCGAGCCCCCAAAGACCTGCATGGAGCACTGCAAATGGAAAGGGTGCAGAGATTTCAGGAGATAAATGGAAAGTGGGAGCCCCATGACCATGCACCCCTGCCATAAGGGAACATAAGCCCAGCTGATCCACCAGTAGAAGCCAGTGTGAAAGGCACTGCAGTTAAGAGGAGGTGAAATGAGGTTGCACAGAAAGTAAGCACTGGATAAATGGTCTCAGTTTCCAGCTGATAAAGTTGACTTATTTCACTGCGTCGTCTCAGGTGAATGACTACCTCACAGTAGTGTTTGGAAGACTAGCTAATCTATGTATTGAAGTACTCAAATCTGCCATCTTCTTTGGTAAGGTAGAGAAACTACTTTTTTTTTTAATTATCAGAAATATTAAATCAGAAGAACTGTCAAAGGCCCAAGGCTAGAACTTGTCTTTAGGCAGTTTTATTTATTGATTTAGATTCTCAAGGAGTAATTGGGTAGTTTGTTTTTAATCAGCTTTTATTCTGAATTCAGAAAAGTAACAATGAGCTAAAGACAAATATAAAGGAACTCATGTAACTTAAACTGATGGGAAAGAAGGATTTTTCTTCGGCTCCTGTATAACAAAGGACTACAGTTACAAGAATTGCTAGTCTTAGCCCCTATTTAACAAGTCTCTAGAAGAACCCAAAGAAAACAGAGGAGACAAAAATAGGGATTCTAGAGGATACTTCAGCCATTGACACAATAGCTACAGCAACCAGCAAACGCAGGCTAACTTCTAGCTAGAAAAACATAAAGCACATTAAAGGACTACTGTTGTTCACTTTACCCAACAAAAACTAAGATTTCAATAAAAAAAGAAATTGCAGGGCATATTAAAAGGCAAGAAAAAAAGTCTAATAAAACAAGAAAGCAAGCATCAGAACCAGACTTAGTTATGGCAGAGATTTTGGAATTACCAGACTAGGGATTTTAAATAAGTATGGTTAGTATGGTAAATGTTCTAATGGGAAAGGGGAACATGCAAGAACAAATGAGTAATGTAAGTGGAGTTGGAAACTCTAAGAATCAAAAAGAAATGCTAAAAATCAAAAGCACTCCAACAGAAATGAAGAATGCCATCAAAGGATGGGCTCAGTAGACTGGACATGGTTGAACAAAGAATCAGTGAGTTTGAAAATACATCAGTGAAACTTCCAAAACTGAAATGCAAAGAGAAAAAAAAAGAATAAAAG